TTGCTGTTGCTTTGCTTGGGCATTTTCAATTGTAAATAGATTCAATTTTTGATCATCTCTAAAACAAACGAAACGAATTCGTTTTTGAAAGAATAAAAACGCTTTTATAAATACAGTATTTTGAAAACGAAATCGATTGTTTCTAAGCTGATGAAATAATCACGTTTCAGAATCTTGTACATACGACCAGGTGACATTGTTTCATTATTGTTTGCCAAACGATGTTCAATTGCTTTTTCGATAATCAGTTGGATTGTATCATGGCGATCCAATAATATCACATCACCTAAAAATAAAAGAAGCAAATAGATCAGTAAAATTAGAGCTTTCTTTCGCAAACGTACGTGGTTCTTGTGCTGATTTCGATTCTTTTTGATTTGAACGAGCTGTTGGTGGAAATAATTTAACACGTAACTGGCTTGTTCCTGATGCATCGCGTTCTAATCTGACTTTTCTGGTTGAATTTACTGAATCTGGATAATGTTTCGCTGATTTGTCATTGCCTTCAATACCTAGAAAATAAAGATTCGACATGGAATCAGCATTTCTCGCGTCAAAGAAGCCAAAACGTACCTTTCTGAACGAATTTCAGCAGGTTTTCTTGTAAACTTTCTGCGACTGGTATATAATTTGACCATTTTTTAACTCGAACTGCTTCTTCTTCGACGTACCGAACCAGATCACCTAAAAGAGAGAAACAAAGTGATTGTTATTGCTACAACTAGAAAAAATTATTCAGTTTACCCTTGGATTTTATCTTTTTATTACACACACATTTAGCACAAAATTATTCTTTATACACATGTTTTTTTTGAAAATAAATAAACGTCATCTTAAACACGTTTTGTTTAACACGGTTGTGCTATAGTATCAAATATACAAATAATGAAAGACAGTTTAAAATTCAAAAGAAAATATTTATCATAGATCACAGTCGTATAGTGATGATATCGGATGATAATGGTTCAGTTGATTTTTTTTGTTTATTATCTGTTACTGGCCATTTAGTTCCACTTGTTGACTTTTGTGTATCTTCTGTCAATTTTCGTTTTGATTTATATTTATGTGAATGAAGTTGAGATTCTTCTTCTTTTAGACTTGATTTTGTCTCAAATATTCACTTTTTATTGTTTCTTCATCAATGCGCTTCCAATTACGAAAACTGCTATTGTTTTCCCATTGTTGATCTTGTTGTTCTCGTTCAAGTCGTTAAGAACGTAATTGATCTAATATACGGCATGAAGTAAATTTTGCCATCAATCATTACCACTCGTGGATGATGATGCATCATCATTATCATCATCATTTACATTGTGTAGTAAATTATTTTTATTTATCTGATTGGCACTTTGGTCATTTCTTTCTTCTTCATCATTATTGTCTGTTTAGAAAAGTAAAATAAATAAAGAAGAGAACTTCTTTACTAGATTTTTGTTGTTGAATATTGTCCATTTACATGTTCTTCAATTCGATGTTTGAGATTTGCTTTTTGTATTTCTGTATCTTAACTACCAAAATATTGTTTATTTGTTTTAGCTGTTACATCTATAAGTGTGTTTAATACTTTTCCATTTCACTTTTTGTTATTTTTCCTAAAAATAAAATTTTGTTTTTTATCTTATAGTGAAATATTTGAATTATTTTTAAAATTTACCACCTTGATCAAGATCAAATACAGAAAATAGTGTTTCAACTAATCTTAGACGATTGACAACGGATGGTAAAAATTTTTCTTTCCGACAAGGCCATAATAAATTCTCTATTAAAAACAGAAAAATACGATCAATCAAAATTAGATTTAAGTTATTAGAAAAAATTAATTTTTACCGAAAATTAATATAGTGATTTTTATCTTGATCATGAATGTTAAACATATGACAAACATATTCTTGAGTTTTTGATGTTGGAGTACCCATAAGTTTTTTATATTCATGTTCGAATTGTTTAAGTGACAAATGATCATCTAGACAATCTTTTAGAAAATTACTCGAAAAAAATGAAGATAAGCGATACAATAGATTCATCAAGTGTGTATATATAAAACAATTTTTAGGAAAAATAACAAAAAGTGAAATGGAAAAGTATTAAACACACTTATAGATGTAACAGCTAAAACAAATAAACAATATTTTGGTAGTTAAGATACAGAAATACAAAAAGCAAATCTCAAACATCGAATTGAAGAAGTATTCAATGAATTAAATGTAAATCATGATTAGCACATTACAAAAGATGAATTTATATAAGTGTATAACATGTAAATGGACAATATTCAACCACAAAAATCTAGTAAAGAAGTTCTCTTCTTTATTTATTTTACTTTTCTAATTTAGAGATTGGTACAGAATTTAATGGGCTACATTCTGGTAAAAAGCACTTATACTTATATTGCAGTTAATTAATTAATTAATAGTTAATTAATAGTTAATAATAATTAGCAATTACTTAATAAAATTTTAATCTTTTTTACAATTCCAACTCTACCATTCGAAAGAGCATAAAAAACTGAATAAAACTCTATTATTATCATTTGAAAAGCAACAAATTTGGTGAGATTTTAGGGTGATTTTCAGAGTATGCTCACTTGTAATTAGATACAGTATTCATGATAGATATAGTATTCTGAAAATCACACTAAAACCTCACTAAATTCGTTGCTTTCGAAATAGTAATTATAGAGTTTTATACAGTTTTTTATGCTCTTTCGAATGGTAGAGTTGGAATTTAAAAACAAATTAAAATTTTGTTAAGTAATTGCTAATTATTATTAACTATTAATTAACTATTTATTAATTAATTAACCGCAATATAAGTATAAGTGCTTTTTACCAGAATGTAGCCCATTAAATTCTGCATCGAACGGTATATAGAACAACTTTCAGATGTTGTGAAATAACGTAAAAATTAGCCAAACACTAAAAATATGCTCTACTTTTCCCCTACATTTTACTACAGTGTTTAGTATTTTGACTATAACATTGTCATTACTCAATGAAAATCAAAAAGTTCTTTTACCAAAATGATCAGCGAAAAAGCTCTACAAAAATAGATATAAGAGAAAATTTTTAGAATATCCTTGCTATTCGTTTATGTGTAAAAATAAAAAAGTCCAGGCTTTTCTCGGCCCTCAATGGTGCTAAGTCTAATGCAGTTAGATATTTATGGTTTTTTTCCTCGAAAATGCAGATGCCACATCTTCAGGAAACTTCGCCCTATCTTAAAAATGTGTTTTTAACATGTGAGAGGTGAAATTGAGTGAAAAAAAGTCGAAAAAATCATTTTTTAAAAAAGCCATTTTGTTGCGCAAGTGATGAGCATGTTTTGTGCCAAAAATCTTTTTGAAACAGCACAAGCTTAACAAACGCGAGCCGAATTACTCAAAGCAGTTTTTTGGACAAAACTGTACTCTTTAGAGAAAGTTCACTTGCGTTTCGTCTAGAAGAGAAATTGGCTGGTCTTTACATAGTGTTTCTGAACGAGCATTGAAAACTGAACAAAGTAATATGTGAACGAGCCCTACATAACATTGCTATAAAAATTTTCCAGGGGGGTAGAGCTGAAACTACAAATGATATAAAAATTTATTCTATACTAAATTAATGTTCATCTAAAATGGAATTGATGTGTACGACTGATATTCTGTATGACGATTATTGGCTGTACAACTATGGAAGGTTCTATCGAGTGCGTCATAATGATTAAATTCTGGGTGTAGTAGTGCTTTGAGTAAAAGTCCCGTAACTTCAACAAAACAAACGCTTTTTCGATCGGGTTTGTTTTGTTTTGATCAGGAATGATTGCTTTTCTATTACTAATTCTGAAATCAAAACATCGATCAGGTTTTCCATTTCTTACTTCGGCACATTGCTGAAAATGAGGAAAAGTTTTTGAAACTTAGTTCTCCAGCCCCCCATCTGCTCTAAAAAACATTTTTCACAGACCAGAGGAAACAGCATGTTCAGAAGTACAAAAAGAACTGAGTTCTCACTTTTGCTACACTCTTTTGCGTGAATAATTGCTAAAGAAAAAAGTCAAGTCGAAAAAATATCAACTATACAAAGTTTTCATTTTTTTCGCCTTTCGTATAATTTACGTAGTTTCCTTGCATTGAAGAAAGTTTCTGAGGGGGGAGAGTGTAAGAAAAAAAATTTTCGCGGTGCAAGTAAAAACACAAAGAAAATTTTTATTTTGGGGGTAGTATACACATTCTCCTCCAAATTTACGGTCCTTAAATAAAAGTATTCATCTGAAAATTATTCGATATTAGTATAATCACTTCGACGAATCCTCTCTCTATTCACTATATCACATTTTAATTCTGAACTGTTAACGTATTTTACAAATACGCACGCAGATGTCTGACTGTATAATCGCACAACATTGTACAATTTATCCAATCCTTTAACAGTTAATCAAAAGCAATAATTTGTAATTGTGACTCTTTAAGCAATACCTTATTTTTAGCCACGATTAGACTATATAACATTAGATTAATTGTCGTTTATTTGAGATTTGATCCCATCTAAGGATAACCGATAAAAGAAAACGAAAATAGCAAATAAGCATGAGACAAAAAGAAATTCAACAAACGAGAGAAAGAGAGAAAAAAAATGTCATTTTAACGACGATAAAACTTCATCACAAATTATTTTTGGATTTTAGCTAGCTCGGTTTGCGTTGGATCAAAAGTAATATACATAAAAAAATTACATTTTTCTTATGAATAATATACAATACAAATAATTTAGGAAAAACACATAAATTGTTCGAAACTGTAATTCATCAAAATAAAGATATTTTGATCGAATAAAAAACTTTTTGATATTTAGCACTGAAAGATAAAAACAAATATTTAATATTTATTTATGTCTTAAGAACCTCACTCATATTTTACTGTTCGTCTACTCAAAACAACGGCAATGGAACAACTATTTATTGTGAATATTCGAGGCATCGAAAAAGTTAGAAGAGAAGAGAGAGAGAAAATATTCAGTACAGTATGCTACTTGGTGATTAAAAAATTATTATTATGAATTTTTCTCATGAGTTGACGATACTGACGAAGCCGATGAAGAAGATGATGCTTCATTTTCATTATGATTTGGTAATGTTTCCGATTGTTCATTATGCATATTTGCCTGTTGTTGCATACGCTGTTTTTTATCATTGATGGAGGTCTTTTGTATTTGTATACGATAGAGATGAACGGATTTGGTACTTTCAACTGCTCCAGACTGTAAATCAAATGAAACGATCTTTTACTGATGTTGTCTGTGTCGGTGATGGTAACCACCAACTTAAAAGATTGGCAACAATTGGTAATTGACGTAAGATGTCTTCTTGATATAATAATTGTTGATTTTCATCTTGTAAATCTTTTTCAGCTTGTCGAATACCTTCTCGTACTTTTTCGGCCGTTACCTAAACAATTTAAAAAACAAAAAAAAATACATAGGAAAAACAACATATACTTCATTCAAGTGTTATGTTAAGAATGCACTTTTACCCTAGTAAATTTTACTTACTTCAACGTATTTTAACGATTGTTCTGTTTCATGACCCGCATCCTGCATTTTTCTTAATAACACATCAAGATCGTCATTTTTTCTCACTATAGCTAAACGTAAATATAATAATTCTTGATCATTAACTCCTAAAGTAAATGCTGAGTCATTTGTTTGCAATTTTCTAGCTAATTCAGCATTAACCGTATTCATATCTTGAACAGAATATAAATTTGATGCATGATTTTGCGGTTGATCATTATTATCACCATTTTCCAATTGTTCATGTTCTTGTTTATCATTTATCTCTTCTTGTTCTTGTTTACTAATATTTGTAACATATCGAACACCACCAATTCCTGCCCAATCAACTAGTGAAATCGATACAAGATTTGGATAACTTGTTTTAATCGCTGTATTTAATCGACTTTTAGCGGCCATTGCGGCTAATAATATTTCACAAAACGTTTTAATATCATTTTCTTCTATAACATCAAGTAAATGTTCTAATGGAGCAAAGAGAAATGCATGCGAAAGATATCGATTTGTTTCGATTTTATCATCAACTGATCGATGTGGTTGAAAATGTATACTTTTCAATAATTCTAAATTAATTTTTGGATATTGTTGACTGAATTTATCATAAAGTCACATATTTAAAAGATCAACATAACTATCGATATCATTATCATTCATATTGTTGATATCTTGAATTTAAAGAAAAAAAACAATGATATTAATAATCATAAACATAAAATAATCAATCTTCTAAGAATTTTCTGTTCTTATCTGAAATTATAGTTTGATATAGACATAAGTTGTAGTTATTTACAACATGAATTTATGTACATACTTTTGATATATCCGGCTCAAAACGAAATACAACAGAAATTGGTAACGGTACTGTGGATGAATAACTATCACAAATACATTTGTATGTTATTGTAGGATTATAATTCATTTCATTATTATTTCTATAAGATGAGTTATCATTTAATATTTTAATTTCTTTTATTTGATATAAAGATTTTATTAATAAATCTCTTAAATAAAATGAATGTTTCATATGATGTAAAACATGTTCATTTTTACAACGTTGTGATACAGACCAAAAATTTATTGATGATGATTGCAATATCACATCATAAAATGACGAAAGTGCTGTCGAAAATAAATCATAATTAATTTCTATTTGTGAGTATTGTGAGTATAAACCATTCAAATAGTAAATTTTGAATATCAAATAGTTTAATTGAATCCACTGTAAGACTATCACAACATATATGAGGATTATCATAGCCGACCGAAGGGAGGCGTGAGCATTGTCTGCCATTCAGAAATAATCTTAAACCGCGGTCAGTGTTAGCTAGGCGACCATCTAAAACATATCATGAATTTTTCTTTGATCTGAT